TAATATCAATTGCCTCTTTTCCGTATTTGGACTTAGACTATTTTGTGTTATCCCAGTCATTGCTAGTCACCATACATCTCAACTCTTGTTTTTTATCAAGCAAGCTTTGCAATGTTAAGAACGAGGATGCAAATCTAATTACTTCCGGCCTAACTATCTCTTTTGCTGTGAACTTTCTCATCAATGGCAAAGTCTTGTGATGTGCATAAATGAAAATAGTGAATGATTTTGCCTTGTTAATCACTTCCTTGAAGCTGGGAAGTTTAGAGAATCCTTCAAACATAAGATTTAAAGTGTGAGTGGCACATGATGTCCAAAATATGTTAGGCCTTTGTGATTCTAACAATTTTGCGGCAGCCATATCATTGGAATCATCGTCGGTTACAATTTGAACCACATTTTCAACTCCAATATCTTTAATACAATCATTGACATAGTCAAATATATACTGACATGTATGAGCATCATTTGAAGCTTCCTTTGATGAAATAAATGTGGTCCCCAATTTACAATTTACATATAAATTCATTATGCCTCTTCTTTTCCCATCGCTCCAAGCATCGGTCTGATTGAAACCCATTATTTTTCCACTCTTCTTCTTCCTTCTTTAAAGTTTCTTTTGTCCTCTCTCTCTCCTTTCAAAAGTGGCTCCCTTAATTGGTATTGGGAAGGAGGAATATGACCCGGTCCATATTGACCAAGAGCATCCACAAATAGTTTAAAACTATCATTGTCAATGACATTAAAAGGAATTCCAACTTCATAAACCTATCTTGCCAAATATCAATGAACCTCTAATAACATTTTCTTAACAATTGCATCATTCATATTTTGTTGTCTCAATTTCTTATTTGCACTAATAGAAGCATCATTGACATTGATAGGCCTTACAAATTGATCCATAGGTCCCACATTAAAAGGCCTTTTCCTAGTCCCTCTTTCAATAATAGCAATTTCATCTTCTTCCTCCTCATCTATTCTATACAAAGATATATTCACATCTTTCCTCAACTTAGTAGCATGCAATAGTTTCTCTACTCTTTTAGACTTGGTTCCTTGAATCGTCTCAACACACTTAGCTTTTTGTCCTTCATTTGCTTTAGGACATGATGCCACACCTCTTCCCTTGATTCCAGCTACATGAAGTTTATGCCTAGAAATTCCTACCCTAGTAACCTTATCACATAATATGCATTTCACATTATTAAGATTGTATGGATCTATCAAAACCGCATTTTCCCATCCAACATCTCCGGAATCTTTTTTGAGTTGACTAGCATTGGATTTGAATACGGTTGAAGAATCAACTTCTTCCAATGTTTCATGAAAAAATAGAAACAGTAAAAAATTTATAAATATTGGGGTTCAATGTACTAGATTAAAATAAGATTAAGATGCACAAAAAATTAAAAGTTCTCTAAAGATGAAATACCCCAAACTTTCCCATTTCCCCTGTTCTTTATTGCAAAATGAACACAATTGTAAGGAATGAATATTATATTGATCAAATTCAAAGATGTCAAATTCATGAATGAATATTATAATGATCACAAATACAATAACAATATTCTAGTTGCCTTTATCCACTAACCAAGCCCAATTTATACAGGAAACATTGGAAATTTGATAGTGTATTATACAGAAAATCCCACGTGGACCCAGTGCATTGACATATTCTCATTAGCCACCCTTTTTGGACTTTCAATTGCCAAGTTTGTCATTTTCAATTTCAGCACTTGCTTACAAAATCCTACGACCACAAGTGCTATGGAGTATGGACCCACTATCAAACAGGAAAGCCCCCAGTTTTGTCTCTTTTAGTTTAGAAGATGAGCTCAAATGGTTCTTTTAAATTAGGGGAAAATGAAGAAATTAGCCATTAATAATTTTTTTAACAACACAAAATTAAATAAAAATAAAAAAGGATGATAATGCTCACCAATGCGCGCATAATTGTGCCTAGGCGCGCCTTAGCGGTCAATAATTGTCATTGAGCGCCAAATAAGCTGTCAAATCACTTAACTTGACATTTTGACCAAACATCACGCCTTGGTGTGCCATTTAGAACACTGCATATTACTGTATATATAAGTACAATTTAAGATGATAGGTGTCACATGTTGGGAATCTACTTATACATGCACAACGGAATTTAAAATAATTTTCGATTCCCACCAAGAATCGCCTTTGTATTTAAATAGAAACTGTAATAAGATTGTACCTTTTCTAGATCTGCAATCTTTTTGCTTTTCTTTTCGTTCCATCAACCTTAATTTGTCACCACAGCTGTCCAATTGTCCAGCCTCCAACGGTGATCCACACAGAGAATATGATTGCAGCCTCTAGGGTTTTCTCTTGTGCCAGCAAGAATAATGAAAACCTTATGGACCTCAAACCCTAGTTATGTATTTATATAAACCCAAACAGGCTCAGCCCGATTCGGTCCAATAATTAATTAATCCAATTAATTAAACCCGGTCCGTGAATTAATTAATCCAATTAATTAATTCGAAAATATAAATAACAAATCCAATTAATTAATTTATCCAACGATTGTTAAATTAACCAATTGACAATTTGCAATCTTCCAATTCTCTTTTGTGTGTGACTCATTAGGTTCCCGACCACGATGCCTAACGACGTGAAATATTATTTTGATCTAATCAAAATTGATAATTTAAAACACCCTTTTAATTTATCGTCAATTCACACTCGCCGTCCCTAATTGACATCTAGCAATGTGTCAGGGCAATACATGTGACGGGAAATGTCACTTGGTATGACAAAACCAAATTCGTTCGTTTACCGTGAAACTATAATCCCTTCGTTAATATGATCCGATCAATTACGAGATATGGAATTGTGTCAATCTCAATCATCGATCATATCTTTCACTCTACTATTAAATCAATATAAGTCAAAAACTCATTTTCGACTTATGACTACACATTGGCCAAGGATTTCGTTATCGATTTAATTGAATGAAACGCAGATCATAATCTCTTACTATCTAAGAACGACAAATCCTTTATTGATCAATCACAACCTTCATACGATTCTTGACGTACCCGAACGATATCGTATTAGCGGCCCTTTTCAGAGCAACATCCAACACCGCCAAAGTATGACTGTCCTCATATAAGATACCATGACGATCTCAAGTCAAAAGACCAATTTCACTACCGAACGTTAGAGATTAACCACTGACACTCAGATAATTATCCATGTGGAATCTTTCGACAGGTCTCCAATGTTTTGTTCTATAACAAAACATCCACGTGTTCACTTAAGTGTCACCACACTTTAACTTGTGAGATCAGTTACTTACTTCACAAGTAAGAAATGCCACACGTGATGGTCTATCCGTAATAACGATATCCGTATCTCGTTATTACTTACGACCACGGATGATTTAAGATTCAATCAGATGTAATTTGTATCTCACAATCACAACTCATTGTGATTAACAAATTACAAATATTTGAATCTACGGACTCTATTATTTATTTAATCGTCTATTAATTAAATAATAGATCTGCCATTTAATTGCATTAATTACATATAAAAGTATTTATGTCCAAAGTTGATTGGACCTAGGACATAATACTTACATCACACTCCTCTCTATCACATAAAATGATTGCATATTACTGATATGTGCAATATATATGTGTGTGTGCGCGCGCGCGCGCGCAATTTATACTGACTTCACATATATAGAACTGTATATGCATGTACAGTATGATATGATGCATATATAGATGCCTTTTACACATATATAGATACCTTCTATGTTTTCGAAAGACCTCCTCTCATTTGTTTATTGTGGGCTGTGGTCTTCAACACTTATTTGACAGGTGGGGAGTCCAGTTCCCTAGAATTTAGTAGAATAATTATAGATCGTGTTATTCGACACGAAGGATTGCATTTTCCATTTTCATCTCCACTATCTGTATAGATTTTGAAGCTTCTCCTCCGTTAAGACCCTCTTTGGAAGCCCACGGTCACCTCTGTGTGGACATAACCACCTTACGACAATCAACTTCTATTCGCGGGATGACACTACAACAAAAATTGCCTTTCACGACGTTCAAAAAACTTTGCAAAAGGCTTTTATAGCATTCTAATGTATGCTACAAACCTCAATGTTTCCATAGAGTGAAGGATACGGTGAAGTTTTTTTCGCGTTGCAAAAAAATTTTTTGCAACATTTTTTTTGCGTTCGAATAAGCTTTTTGCAACGTTTTTTCCGAGTTGCGATTAACCTTTTTGCAAGTTTTTTTCATTACAAATAAGTTTTTGCAAATTTTTTTCACATTGTGAATAAAATTTTTGCAATATTTTTTCGTGTTGCATGTAACTTTTTTGCAACATTTTTTGAAGGTTGCATGTAACTTTTTTGCAACATTTTTTGTAACTTATCTATGCTTTTGTCCTTATTTTTTGCAAAAAAAAAATTACCATTACCGTAGGTCATTTTACATTTTTTTTTTTAAATTTTAATTTTTTTGTTTGTACAGTGACTTACATATATTAACCATAAAACATAATAGAAGATAACTATATCAAATAACTCCAATAAGCATTATTAATTGAACTCCAAAAATAGTGAGTAAAACCACCTCATCGATCTCCTTAATTTTCTTCTCAGCAATCTTCGATATGAGCTGTGCCTTAATTATCGATCCTGACCTATGAAAAACAAACACTAACCACCAGCATAAAGATCCAAGAAGAAAACCAATACAAAGTCTAAAAAACACAATTTGTAATATAAGAGTGGTATCATACAGAGTGAGCAAATCTAACAGGTAATTAGATTCTTTGCCAATTTGAAAATAACTTGCTGCTTCGCAGATATTGAAGTATTCTAGAATAAGACATTTAGGAAAGAAGCTTGAATTATCCGAATCATAAAATATTCTCTCTTAAGGAAAGCTTCCACAAATCTTGAACATAGTTTAAACAAGTAATATGTTATAATAGAAAGAATTAAACAATATCTTAAGCAAACACAGAGCAAGTTACTAGCCTTGCTCCTTGTGGTATCTGTAAGCCATTAGATTGATCTAAGGAGTTCATGACACTTTTACCAACAACAAATAATCATTTTCTGGTCGTAGTAAAATATGGCAAATGATCAGAAATTATATGAGAACAAAATAAACAAGTTTAACATTTAATTTGGATACATAAAGATGCTTAGTAGGGAGCCTACAAATAGAAAGGAAAAAAATTGATAATATATAGTGAGTAACCAGAGTTGACAACAAACCGGAGCTCTATTACCGTTTGCTCTATCCTGCAGACCTTTTGTCCAACTGAACGTCATATAAATTAGTAGATAATATTTTGAATTTGGCAGCTATGGAAGAACTCCACAAAGCCTGTTCAACATCAGATGGTTTGAATATATTCTCATCTGTAGACAATTCCTGAAAATAATTTTTCTAAAAATGCATCATAACTACTTAATAAACATTGAAAAAGCAAGCATACAGCAAGGGAAAATTGAAGGGAAAATAGTCATTCCAAGCAATAGCTCAGTTTCATACCGAAGTCAATAATTTATCTTATTTTTAATTGTATGAGAACATTCTATATAGCAGTAAACAATGATGTCTACTAAGATAGAACACGTGATGGAAGAGGCAATAGAAACATGCTGAAAATACACCAAAATTGAAATAAGAAATTGATTTTGATTTATTTCAGTAGATTTCATTTTTACCAAAAATTTTAAGAATAAATCGAAGCAGAATTCAATTAACTTGTTCCTACAATTTCTTTCTTCTTCGTGTCTCTCGTTTTGCATCAATTGATACCAAATTGCCTCGGTCCAGTGATAAAATCCCAGTCAAAACCTACTATTCATGGTATGTCTAGTCTACAAAAGGGTATTTTTAATGGTATTATTTGTAGAAGAAAAGAACTCTTGTTATTTGTTTGTTTAAAAAAAATAAAAGAAAAGAAAAAAGGGAAAGCAGGTAGAGTTGTTAGAAAAGAAAACATTATCACAGCCCAAGTACCAAAAAGTCTAACCCACCACAGCAGCCCAATCACATAAACTCTAAGCCATCAACCAAGCACTAAAAACGACCTAAAAGAAACAAGCACAATAAGCTCAAACCTATTGCAAGAAAAGCCTCAAAACTCTGTCAAGCGCCCAGTGTGAACCTTACAATCCATCACAGTTATCCATGTGTGATCTCATGCGACATCTTCCTTTGGCACCCCCAATCCACAGGACTCGGAATTGGCAGATATACCTACCCAACCATCAGCCTTCACCAAATGGCACAATAAACAGTGGGAAGCACTACCATAGGGCAGGAATCCACCACCAAAACCATCTTCATTTCTGCTTGTTTTTCCCAAACTTCTTCCTATTGCTTTGATGGCTCTGACTCTTGTCTGATAATGCATGTGACAACTCTGTTGGAGCTAGATCATACACATCCGGGGCCCATGTCACTGATTGCTTCTTTTGACAAAGTGGATCAGACTGTGCTAGACTAAATTAGAAAAGAAAAAGAAGTTAGAATCTTGTATGCTATATCGTCCAGTATGGTCTAATCGGTCTAATTCCAGGTACCAAACATGCACTAAACTTATATGAGTATATTAACTTTAGAATTCCTGAAAAAATAAAAAATCTTCCAGAAAGCAAATTAGACTAGCCACCTACCAGAAGGGGGAAAAACATAGATGTGTTCCTTAACGTACTCTCTATAGATTTTCATATTAGATGCTTCTTAAAGTAAAACGGAGATATAGTTATTATAAGAACGAGTTACAAAATAAATATTTGGGTGGCAGATTTTGTTCTTCAATAATGATGGCCATGCTTGCTTCAAGTTATTCGCCTCTTGTAATACAATAAGGCTTAAAAATTACCACATCGAAGTTAGTTTGCTAAAGTGGAGGGGTGACTGCATAGTTAACTGAAGGAAACTAATCTAACATGTGGACAACAAAAAATCTAACCTAACATAAGCATTTCCACTCCAGAAAAATGAATGTAAGAAACAATGGGAGAGACCCACATATGCACAGCAGATTGCACAAGCTATCATAGCAAAGGTGTTCAATGAGCATGTTCTAAAAGAACTCCTAAAAAGGCATCAATCAAAATTAACATTTAAGCCACTCTCCAATTCACACCATTAATTATTTGAAGTACACCTACAATGAGAAGTTAAATTCTCACAAATAGCAAAAGCATAGTGACCATCTTTATCATCCGGCCTCCATGGGGGAAAACCGTTATGGGGACCCCTTTGTAATATATGGAAGAATAAACATAATTGGTGACTGGCCCAAGCTCTTTTCCAGGATATAATATTGGAAGGATATGCACAAGAAACAATATTCAGTCTTCATACGACAACATAATAACTATATAGTTAGTCCATACGAGGGAAATCACTATGATCAGTGTGAAACTACAACAAACTCTTTTATATTAGTAGCTTCACCACCATCCCTTCAATTTCTCAACGCTTAAATAAACTATGCTACATGATTGATTGTTCTTGCATTCTTGCATTACTTGGTACCGTATTCATAAGTTTCTCATAAATATACACAACCTATAAAACATAATTATCAAATAGTTCAACATTATTTCTTCCTCAAATATTTTTATACGACCCATGGGAAAACAAAATCAAGCCAGTATAAAACTTTATGGTTAAAAAGACAAACTAAAGAAAACTTTCCAGAGTACATATCTTTCAGAAGTACCAAAACATTCTCCAAGTCTCAGCTTCTATCACAATCAAGGAAATTCCAGCTCGTGTTTTAGAGAAAAGACACAAGAAAGCAAGATCACAGAACTATAGCACATTGAAATGAAAACAAGTTCAGAAATTCAGGTCATGGATTTGGGTTGATGGAAGACCTACCTTCGTCGCCACCAGAAGTGGTGTTATTCTAGAAATTAGGGCTTGAGACAGAAGAAGTGGCGCTGTTGTTGACGAAGATTTTAGTCCAAGATTCCAATGTCCTCTGCGCTGGAACTAATTCGTCAATTGAAATTGTAACGATTGAAAGTTCACGAATGGATAGTTTAATCCTGGAAAATCTGCCATTTTCGAATTTACACACATTGACGGTTCTTTTTTATTAGAAGGGGTAATGAAATGATTGTTTTTATATTGTAACATATATCGTAATTTTTTAAAATTTTATATTTTATTTTGAATATTTGAATATAAATTCATTTTATGATCTAATAAATAAAAATAATCTATAACATTTCTTTCATATTTTCTAATTAAAATGTTATATTATTTAAATGGTAAATTTATATTTTCTAATTGAGAGATAATATTCTTTATTTTTTTTTAACATTCTTTCTAATAGATTATCCAATCCTTCAATTGTATATCTTGACAGTTATTCATACAAATAATCATCAATTAATCCCTACGATTCTTTAAGATCTTAAAAAGATTCATTCTAATTTTAGCAGAAATTTAATAATTTTATCTTAGGTTTGATATGGACTTTTATTCTTAGAACTGAGTGACATTCGAGTTTTGAATCTGTTAACTACTTCCTTCAACGACCTCCTACCTTCATGGAATTGTTACTATTTCAGTTATTTGTTCTCACTATATCAATTTCTAAAGAATAAAATTCTAGACTACTGTTAAAGAAAAACTTTCTTTTTGCTAAAATAAGAATGAAAGTTTTTATGAAGTCTTTCAAAAATCTATGGGAATAAAGACTTGGAAACTCATATTCATACCAAAATATTGAAGTTTTATTTTTATCAGAATTTATACAAGACTTCTATTTGGTACAAAGGGATTTTCAGAAAAACTGATTTTTCAAATTGGGAATGGTTTTTTAGAGTAACTATTGCTTATAATTCGAGATATCAAGATAAGACGAGATGTCTTCTATCTATCACAATGACTTTATTTATACAAGTTTATGAGACTCTATTACATCATTGAGTACATCAGCAAAGGCAAACTTGCCTTTCTATTATTTTCTTCCTTGGGCCTACATCTTCACATGCTTCTTCAACTTTTAATCCAAAGAGTATCTTTTTCTATTATTACTCTTTTTCTTCAATGTCTTCATATGCTGTTGTATTATTGTCCTCCATACACCTTTGTCAAAGGTGCTCTATTATTGTCATCTTCCTTTATTTCTTCACATGCAGTTAGGGCACTTCCTTAGTTGGCAGGATTTTTTTATAGTGGTATGACATCCTGAAAATTGATGTATATCGAATCTTGTAATATAGTCCTTTAAAATTTCTGATTTTCCACATCCTCCATTGAATACCAGCATCTAATTTTCATATTGACACAAGTATGAGAATTTTTTATCAAACAAATTTTTGGCAATATTGTAGATGCCTTTAATTCCAAGTGTTCATCTATATCTGATCCATGATTTTGTCACTGTCAGAACTTTTCTATTATTTTCTGTAACATCTATTTGGAAATTGGCTGCAACATATCCAATTGAGATTATGTGTTCAACTGGATAATAAACAACTCTATCATATTCTGGACTTAATGAAGAATTTCAAATATATTTTCCGTCCTTTAGCAAATCTAGATACTTCTTTTATGAATATGTCATCAAATTTTGAAATTTCAATCAAATCTTTTCTTGGACATATTAAATCCATGAATCCATAGTCTACCATAGTTTTTATAAATGAAAGGTTTCCTCCTTCCATGGCTGTTATTTTGGAATAAACATTATTTTTCAAAGAGATGAAATGTGAATCACTCATTTTTATTTTATAAGCAATTTTGACTATTTCGACATATTTTTCTTCTTTTGGATCTAAATGGATTTTATCTTCTTAGTTTATGATGCTGATTATTTTGGTATCTCTTTTATCTCCATGTATCATAACTTTTTTTGGTTGATGATACTGAAATGGAATCTCTTTTATTATCAGTTGGTATTTTGTTACGTTTGGGTCCACTGCTACTTCCAGCTGTCTTTGTTTGGTATTGATTTGGAAAATTCATTTCTGAGCTCTTTTGTATATCTGTCTCAGACAGTATATTTTTTAGTTGTGCTGCAATAGCATCAACTTCATTTTTGAGTTCTATGGCATATTTATGATGCTCAATAGTGATATTCAACAATATTTTTATATTTGAGTTGAACATCTCTGAGATCTGGGTTGCTCCAGAGTTTATATCTTCGAATTCTTCTTTAAGAAAATCTGTCATTTTTTGTATATGTAAAATAGATTGTTATAATTCCGTGACTTTAACTTTATCCATAAGCAAATTCTATGTTTCTGCTGAGAAAATTTGCAAGAAAATTATTAACTCCTTTAGTATAGACTATATCAAAATTGTAAAATGCTAAATAAGCTTGTCATCTATGGAGCCTTCTGTATTGGAGTTCTGATAGTATTTATTCCTGACTAATTCTGCAACTTGAGAATTATCAGTTTCAACAGTAAATTTCTTGGATAATAAAAATAATGAGAACTTCTTTATTCCTCTAATAATTATTAGTAATTCTCTCCCATGAGTAGTATACTTTATTTCTGCTTGGTTAAAGGTTCCACTACGAATTTCATTTAGATATGTTCTTAATATTGCTGCCCAATATTTATTTGAGGCATCAATATTAACAATGAAATTATCTTTTTCATCTGATAATCTTAATTATAATAAATTTTTACATTCTTCTTTTAATGATTTAATTATTTCTGTATGTTCTTCATTACATCCTTTAATATTTATTTTTTTAAGTAAAACTTGAATTTTATGTCTTTTCTTAGAAAGATTTTCAATAAATCTTTCTGCATAATTTAAATATCTTAAAAAAATTTGTATTTTTTCTTTGAATTCTAATTTATCTGAAAAATTTACATCTTTTTAGATATATAAGTCTGTAAATTTTATCCCTTTTTATCTATTGATAATCCAAGAAAGCCTATCTCTTATTTTTCTATTATAGATTTTTTTTTAGATAGTACAATTCCTTCTTTTTTACATTTGCTAATAAATTGGATTAAATGATTTCTATGTTATTCTTTACTATTAGAATATATTAATACATCATCTATATAAACAATTAGAAATTCATTAAACTTTTTAAATATATTATTCATCTTTTTTTGATATATTTGTGGTACATTTTTTAGACCAAATGGCATAACTAACCATTCATATTTTTCTTGAGGTGTGCTAAATGCAGTATATTGTATATTATCTTCTTCCATTTTTATTTCTCAAAATTCTGATTTACAATCAAATTTAAAATAATATTGTTTTCCTCTTACAAGATTTATTAACACTTCTTTATTTGGTAGAAAATAACCATCAAATTTAGTATATTTGTTTAATTCTTTGTAATTTATGATCATCCTAGTTTTTCCTCTAATTTATTCAGAATGTTTCATAACCATAAAAGTTGGACTACTATGAGCTCCATTACTAGGTCTAATAAGTTTTTGTTCTAAAAATTTTTTTATCTGATTTTTAAATTGTTGTGTATCTTCTGTAATATACATCATTGGTCAGACTCTTATTATAATATTTTCTGTTAATTCTATTTTAGCTTTTTGGTGATGTGGTTTCCAAAATAATAATGAATTTTCTCCATAAACTTTTCCAGTTGTTCAATTATTTTTTCTATATTTATTTCTATTCCTGTTTTTAGAACTTTTTTATACAATATATTTTTTTATTTCATTATATATAATTGATTTTTTCTCTTATTTATCATCACGCTGGGCTGGCTGAACTCTATAAGATTTAAATTCTCTAAAAAAATTTAATAAATATCCACAAGGTGTTTGTAGCATTATCATATAATTATTTTGTTTATAATATTGAAATTGTTGAATAAAATATTTCCTAATAATATATCACAGTTTAATTTATCATATTTATATACTTTATTTATTGTAACTTGTTTATTTCCAAGAATTATATTAACTTTATCAGCACTATTAATTATTTGAGTACTTTCTCCTGTAACTCCAGTTGTTTTTATATTACTATTATTGTTCCATGATTTTATTAAAAAATTTTTAAATATTGTTATATCACTTACTGTATTTATTAAAGCACAAGTTGCATATTTGTTTCTACAATAGTAATTTGTATATACACAGCTAATGAAAAACTTATCTGATTATTTATCTAATTCTTTTTACATATTGTGGTTTGTCTATTATGAACAATACACAATCTTCTTTTTTTATACTATAATCTTCTAATCCATTTAAAAAACTCATTCTGAAAGGTATATGGCGGTTTATATCCGTACTCTTATTTATGTAACATGGTACTAAAAGATCTATTTCTCCTATTTTTATTGATACATTTACTTCTAAATTTGTAATATGTACCTGTCCATCAAAATTTACATACTTATATGGCTCAGTTTTATGAGTTATTAAACCTTTATTTCTAATCGAAGTTATATAACATCCACTAGCTCCTGTATCTATTAATATATTTGGTCCATTTATATTTTCTCTTCCATTATAATATTCTCATTTTATTTTCATATTTCCAGCATTCTTATGTGATTTTATTTCTTTTATTTTGTTGATTTTTTTCTAACTGATTTTTATTAGGTATTTTAAAATTTTTTGATCTTTTAATTAATTTTTCATTCTTAAATATAATATTATTAGAACATTCTCTTTCATTTAACTTTGTTATTTCAAGTTTATTTTTTGTTATACTAAATTCATATTTTTCTGGAATTAAACTTATTTGTTTATTTGGTTCTATTATTTTACTAATATCTTTACATTCTTTATGAATTTAAATTTATGATTTATTGGAATAAATATTCTCATAATTAGAATTAGTAAATGTATATAAACCTCTATTTTCTATAGTCATAATTTGATCACCTGATTGCATAATATGATCTCTATGAAACTTAAAATGTAGTCCTAAAATTTCTATATTTTAATGATACACAATATTTTGGATAACACGTAAACATAATTTTTTGATATGCTAAATTTCCTTCTATTGTTCCTAAATGACTATCTTTTAAATTTATTATTCTTCCATCATGTAAAATTAAAGTTAATGGAGAATCTATCCATTCTCTGAATAGTGATTTAAACATTATTTGTATTCCTACTAAATAAA